ACGTTCGGGCACGTGGCTGCGAGGAGGACGATGTCGGTTGCCACCTAGAGGCCGGTTCCGAGGAGCTTGAGCGTTAGGGAGGGTTTAAGGTTTAGGCAGTACCAAGTCGCGGGTAGCAAGAAGTGAACGAGTAATGACAAAGGGCTAAATAAGCAGAAGGTGGCGAGGAATAAGCTATCAGTCGTGGGGCATCGTCGCTGTCGTCTCCTACTACGACTACTACTACTACTACTACTACCACTACTACTACTACCACTACTACTACTACTACTACTACTTCTTCTTCTTCTACTACTACTTCTTCTACTACTACTACTTCTTCTTCTACTACTACTACTTCTTCTTCTACTACTACTACTGCTATTTCTTCTACTACTACTACTACTACTACTACTACGACTACTACCACTGCTGCGACTCACTACTATGCCGACCACTCCCACTTCTAATCCTGCTCCCTACCCCGACCCCTACCCCCAGGCGCCCAAGGAGCTAGGGTTTAGGGCTCAGCCGCTCAAGTTGAGGTGGCAAGAACTTAGAACAGAGGTTCGTCTTAGGGCTCCGGGGCTTCGATGCTTTTGTGGATCTCTCTTAAGTCTGGGCTCGGGGCTGCCTAAAACAGAGTCGATATGTGAAATCATGCCTCAGGGTGTGCTTGCCTCAGGCCTGGTTAGTTTTGTTCTCAAGTTAGCAATGGGTCCTTAGAGTTTCAATTCTGGTTACCGTCTTTGGTATGATTTATTGTAGCGGTTACAATGAATCCAACGAGCACCCTTGTGTTTGGCTTTTTTTCTCGGAAGCAGAGTGTCTTACTGGCACCCTTGTGTTTGGGTTTCTTTTTTTTTGGAACCAGCGTCTCCAACTACTCCACCCCGCTAGCTCTCCTATATAATCATGTACGATCTCGTTGCGGGAAGCACTTTGGGTAGGCACAATGCATAGAACCACAGCGCGGCGCATAAAGTCTCCGCCGGAATCGATTCAGCCCCCGATTTGGGTAGTTTCAAGGGTCTTCGGGCGGAGACGGTGTAGGAATCGCTTTGCCACTAGGGCGGGCTTGAGGCCGTTAGGCTTTCGGGATGGGTGAGATTGATTGAGGCCTAAGAGAATGACTTCTCGGATCGCTGATCTGATTGTCGGCAGTCTCTGAAACTGCGCGGCTTGTGTCGTCGCGGTTTAGCTGGGGGTTTACAAGGGTTCATAGATTCTAGAACCAGGATCTCTCAGAGTCTCATGGCAGCGGCACCTCAGGACCTGGTTCCTTTCCATAACTTCTTTCTCCTGAAACCCACTTAGTCTGCATGATGAGTGTCCGAAGACGGACAGGAGCTTTACGCATGACGTGGTGTGGGGATGGCACTAAATCCCTGAGCCCTGAAGACTTCGCCTTGAAACCTGAAAGTGCCCATGCCTTGAACGCGTGAGGATGTGAAGCCCAACCCCGTCCGTGTCCGGATCTGAGAGTTCTCAAGCTTCTTAAGGTTCAGGGTTTTCAGTTCGGCGATTTCTGTCGCCTGGCGGGTAGTTAGTCTTAGCGGGATTGCTACGAGTCCCCGTGTTATTATCGAGTTTCTATGCGAGCTAGGCGCACTGTTGGTGTCCGCACTACCGAACTGCTCTGTGCTTGCTAATCATATTGCTGTTTTCATGGTATTCTCACAGCCCCTGGCGAGTGTGGCTCGTTCGTCTTCCTGACAATCTGGATTGACCCGGGCCAGGGTTTTGGCAGGACGCTGTAGGTTGTTTTCTTCGGCTTCTGAAAAGTTTTGGCTATGACATGTTTTGGCCACTTGGCATCTGATGCCCGGCCTTGCTGCCAGCAGCTGGGGCTGCAGAGGATCACTTTTGATCGGGCTTGTCGCAAGGATCTGTCCGCTTGAGGCTGCAGGGCCTGGGGTCCACGGCATGTCGTCTTCTTCACTATCCTGCCATGGGGAAACTGCCCCAACAAAGGGTCCCACAGCTCAAACGATTGATGTGAATTCTCCAGTCTAGGCTGCCGTTCAACATTCTGGGTGTTCCTGAGCCTTATAATACCTAAAGCCCCACAAATCGTAAACTTTAGAACGCTACACATAGACCTCAGCATCCTCATTCAGCGGCTCGTCGAGCCTCCCAGGTGAAGGCTGCCACAGACTCCCTGAGGCAGGGGTGGGGCACGCTTTGGGGCTTGGGGAAGACATTTTCTTGGGGATCAAAATCGCCCAAAAGCCGTGTATAGTATGGTCTTTGCGCCCTAAAGCCTCAATATATGAGTCCTTGGAGCCCAGGGTTTAATGTGCAGAATCTCAAAATTCGCAGTTGTCTAAGGCGGTGGCAGTCCTTGTCGTCATAACGTTAGAAGCAGCGTCAGCCGTCTCTGGGTATTTACCGGGCCTCGCCACTCCGAGCAAGAAGACGCACCAGAGTGACAACGGGAGGGAGGAGGAGGACAGACAGGAAAAGCCGCTCGGTGAGAAACATGCTGACGAAACAACCGTACGGTTTCTCATGGGGACAAGCGAGCATTAGAACTCATCAGACCAGTAAGTATTCGGGGTATGCCACTGCCGCACCGACAACAGATCACCAATTCTAGCATTCGTACAGCCCGCCCCACACTGATACACATCACGTCAGCGGGTTGCCACAGGACCACCATAAACGCATAATCACGCTGTCACCTCGACTGCATCTCGCGGAGGTTCGTGGCGAGGTCCGGGAACCAAACAGGAAGGTGTCCAAACTCTGGTCTAAACGACTTGGAACCCTGATCCCCTTCTGAAGCACCGGTTGGCTCCTGACAGGGCCAAGACGAGCATCGTCGAGGGCCTTGAGCCGGACCGGCTTGGGTTTTGGGTTTGGGGTTTTTAAGATTTAGGGTTTTGGGCTTAGGATTTTTCGTATTTAGGATTTTGGGTTTGGGGTTGTGGGTTTAGGTTTAGGATGTAGGGTTCGGGTTTTGGGTTTAGGTTTAGGATTTAGGGCTTAGGATAGACTCTACGACTAGGGAGGTGGTTCTTACTGCTACACAATAGAGACTCAACGAAATGCTGAGCTCAGGAATAGGCCTTCAAGCATAGAGGGATCCTCAGTATAGTTTAAAGTGTGTACGGTATATAGCTACTCTCCTCAATTAGTATGGGCTTTGGGAAATTCACCAGTTGTGTTTTTCCGGTAGCTTTCGAATCCGCCATGACGCCGCCCTCAAAAGCACAAGCCCTGAGCGCTCCTCCTGCATGCCAAAGCCAGGCCATATACCCGGCAAAGCTCAAAATTTATAGAGGTGACTATAGTAAATACTTACCAATACTACTGTGGGGTTTCCGTCTTCTGATTATAGTATAATATTCCCAGAACCCAATTCTAATTATTAAGGCCCCTTTTTTTGCGCTGTAGACTCGACTCCTGGGTCATCAGGGCAGACCCCACACCGGAAAGCAAGCACTCTAAGCTCGACAGTCGACATTCTAAAATAGTAGCAGTTCTCGACATTAGGGTCCCTTTGTAGGTCCCCAAAATAGTACGACACCCTGCTAACCTATACCCCCTGCACCCTCAACCCTGGACCCGCAACTGAACCCAGTGAAGCTTTCAAACTCTTGCAAAATCCTGATGAAACCCTCTGATACTATGCTGCCGGAGACAGAACATTAAAGATCTTTGAGCTCACAGAAGCCTTGAACCTCCTGAACTCCCCAAGGGAAGTACACTGCTTATGCAGAAGGAGTCGGCGGCTTGCATCCGCCCCTGCCCTCCAGATGCGAGGAGGGGGTTCAGGGCTTCGGGATTGTTTTTTGTTCGACAACGGCTTAGGGTTTGGTTTTGGGGGTTAGCACTTGCGCCGTTCAGGACTTAGGGTTAGGACTCCGGGTGTTTGGGCTTAAGCCTTGGGGTTTTTTGTTGTTACTTAACTGGGCACCCGATCCAGTTTCCGATTTCCTCTCGATGATCTCGATGGGTGAAGGCATGCAGAGTGCTAAAGCAAGCATATCAACCCACAGTAACATCATCACAACCACCACAACAGCCGGAACAACGTCAGTCGCCAACGCCATAGCCACCACCACCGCCGCCAGCACCTGCATCACCTGCACTATCATGACGAAGGTGCCGATACCGAGCAGCAACAACAACAAACGACAACAGCGACAGGAACAGCAACAGCAACAGCAGCAGCAGCGACAACAACAACAACACCAACGAAGACGACGACGAGGACGACGATCATTTTTATTGGACGCTGAGCGAGCGGGCTCTGCTCATTTCGGGCGTGTGAAACTGCCTTTGCACCTGTGCAAAGATCAGAGAGCATAAGTGAAAAGAGCATGGGCCTAGAATATAGAAGCAGACATTCAGAAAGAACTACTGTTCAAGCTACGAGCTATTGCAGGGGCAATCACATGTCACTCACTTAGTGAGAAACCCTCCGTCACCCTCAGTGTGGACTATGGCGTCCCATGTCCACGAACCAATGATTGATGAGCCGTACCCAGCGGGCCGTCACTCAGAGTGCCTGTTGCGTGGCGTCCCACTCATGGTCACTCACAATCAGAGGCGATGGGCCGTAAGGTCGCAAAGGTGGCATACTGTCCGTGGCCGTCCTATGTGAGCAGCAGGGGCTGCTCTGGCCTCGGCGCAAGCCCGTTGTGTGTTGTATACAACCCGATCAAATCTTGGCAAAGTTGAGTCTATGTGTCAGTGTGACACCCTGTCACAGAGCGATGAGCAAGCACATGAAGCTGCTGTAATGCTGTTGACTGAGGTAATGTCGTTTACCGATTAAGATACCCCCCCAGATTAGACGGGGCGGTCCCGGGCATGTCATGGGCTTAATGAAGAAGTCCATTAGACCCCACCCCTATAGTACCGGAGCTCATTTAAACCCCCCCCGATTAGACGGGGCCATCCCCGAAAATCCCCGAAATAAGGATTTAGGGGATTTAGAGGCTTATGACTTAACCCTAAACCCCAAACCCTGAAGCCTAAACCGTAAAGAACTCATGATGGCAGACTTTTCCTCATGGGACCAGCTCATGTCCAGCAGAGCTAAGCTTGTACTTAGGGGCAATGTTCCTGCCCAATCTGCGGGCTTCCCTCCTCATCCAGTATGCGAGGAGCTTACCCTCATCGCAGCTCAGGCAGCCTGAGGCATGCCGGCAGCGGCTGCAGACTCCAATCTCATAGAGTTCGATTCGATTTCTCTCATCCCAGTATGCCTGAGGCATGTCCTCGATCTCAAGGACTTTGCCTTGGCTAATGACCTCATGGGCCATCTTCTGAAGCGCAGTCAGCTCAAGGCCTTTGCTCATGCGTTTCTCAGCCATGGCCGCCATGTGCTCTCGCTCTTTTTTCATCCTGGGAAGCCCAGGAAGAAAAGGGTCCCTGTATGTCTAAGACTAATTACAAAAGGGAAAATGGGCCTAAATACTAAAGGTCCGAGTATCTTGATTCCCAAGGCCTCCTCCTTCTTCTTATGCTGTTTCAGCTCATCCAGTCGCTTGGTCTGCTCAGTGCGGAGAGCATTTGTGACCTTATGCAGCCGCTCATGCCACTTCTTCGCCGAATGCGAAGGCCACCCAGTGCTGGCCTTTCCAAACCCCATGGCCTTTGCGGCCTCTTGCTCCATGGCAGCCAGAACATGGAATCCGCACTCATCGACTCCCTGGAAGACCTTGTTCCTGCGAGGAGGCAGCACCGCCTCATGCACCAGGCCCATGGAGAGCAGGGATGCCAAGATTTTCTCAGCGTAGTCCCTGCATCGCTGGGACTCATCCGGCAGGGAGTCATAGTACCTCAGGGATGGCTCTGCGTGCGAATGCGAAATAAGGAGTCCCCATGCACAAGTCTACCTTATAATAGGGAAAAGGAGGAAAAAGCATGGTGTGCCTCACTTTGGGAGTCTCAGACTCATGTGTCGCATCTATGACGAGCAAAACCCAGTGCCCAGCAGACCCCAGGGGGAGGAAGTTCAGTGTATGAGCACTCATCTGCTTTTTGATGCACTCAATGAATGCATCCACATCCACTTTGGCATTGTCATGATGCAGATATAGTGGCTGTGTCCATCCAGGACTAATGAAGCCCATGCTCTTGCAGGGCATTGAGCTCTGGAGCATGTGCCAAAGCAGGACTCGCCAGCCCAAATGCAGCTGTTGCAGCTCTATGCCGCCGGCCTGAATGGCTGGGTATGGGAGGATGTGAACCTGCTCAAGCCCATCCAGCTGATCCAGGTCCTGGCTCAAGAGCCCCATGTCAAGCAGCATTTCCTGCTTCCAGGCCCGGTAGAAGGACATCTGGGCCCACTTCCACACCTTATGCTCACCCTCTGGCAATCGCTCACAATGGCTCTTGCTGACCCATGCCTTCTGCTGCTTGGGGAAGAAATGGTCCTTCTCCAGCAGCATGTGGCAGTTCTGACGGCCGACACCCAGAATGGACCCATGCCGCCCATACAGCGAAATGCCAGCGTCCTGCGGCTAGGGAGAGCTTATGATGGGCTTTGCTGAACCAGCTAATTTTCTCTCGAACCCACAGGCCTCATTGACTATCCTCCATGTGCCCTTGGTCATGTCATGCTCACCAGTGTCTGCACTCATAGCTGGTGGGCCGGGTGGCGGAGGCAATGGCGGCTCAGGGAGCTCATCCACCGCTTTGCTCAATGCATTTTTCTTGAGCTGCTTCTTATGCTGCTTTTTGGCCATCTTGCCCATCTTGGCCAAGCTCATGCCCTTGGCCTTGGCTTCGGGCTTGGCCTGGGCCTTCGCCTTGGCCTTCGCCTTGCCTCTCTTCGAGGCCGATGCTGGCAGATCCTCATGGCGGCATACCTTGGCTGGTGGCATGACAGGAGGAGAGTCTCATGGGGGTTTAGGGCAAGTAGGAAGGGCGAGGAGCCTGGAGGTTTCCTGCATGCTTGCTCTCAGCTCCTCCCGGACCTCATCCGTGAGCTGATGCTCCTGTTGCTTCTTCTGCCGCCTGGTCTTATTCTTCTCTCTTCTCCTCTCCCTCTTTTCCTTGGCTTGATCGCTCATGGTCGCCTCTCTTGCCAGCATGGCCCTTCTCAGGTCTAATGGCATCTGGAACTTGGCGCATGCCTGCCATTCAGGCTCGGAATGCTCATCAAATGGGATGTCCTCCCAGCTTGGGGCATCCTTGAACCCATCGTTGTAGTGCCAATGGGCCAGGTCACTCAACTCAGTGGCTCCCTCAATGCGAGCCCAATTGGGTTTCTCAATGTCTCCATTGTTCTCATGCTGATACCGATTGGCGACCCATGTCGGATGGATCCTCTTGCAGCCCAATGGCTTGTCCTTGGCCCATGCCTCGTGATCGCACTTCCTCATCTTGCCATGCTCATCAGGTCTCAGGGCCAAGAACCCATTGCGGCGGAGCCCAGCCAGGACCCATTCCGTCTTCTCATTCATCTGGATCATGTGCTCCATGGCAGCGTCGATGGCCAATGCCATCTCCTTGATGCCCATCTTCGGGAACTGCTGCTCATGGTGCCCATCCTCCTCATTCCGGCGAGCCGCCTGCCTCATGCTCTGCTCATCGATGGCTCTTCTCACTGATGCCTTAAAGGCATGTGAAAAATCTGTATCAGTGAGCTGTAATGCTGATGTCATCTTCGGCATGATGCTCGACTGAACCTGATGCCCCATGAAGAGGGTCTTGACCGTATCTGATGTGAATGCAGGCCCATACGCATCCCTCATCCACACACTCAATGGGAACTGCCTAGCCTGATCCTTTATGACCCATGGCAAGCAAATCCCATCGCTGTTGGATGCAGGCTGGCTCATGACGGAGAAATGCCGGAATGCTTGTGGCATCTCATCTCGCAGCTTTCGCCAGCTGATGAGAGCTCGGCCGCAGCTCTCACCTCTGATGTGGCGTCTCTCTTGACCCATGTAGAAGAATGTCTCATCCTCTTTCCATTTCCCATGCTCGTCAATGTTATCCAACCGTGCATGCTGGCCGGGAACTATCAGAATGCCTCTCATGCAGTGGCCTTCGGGGGTCTTCTCATGGTCGAAGAAGCCACTCACGAGCTGCATGGCCTCAAATGTGACCCTGTACCTATCGGCCTTCTCTTGCCGACGGGTGGTCAAATGGGCCATCTCATGCTTCTCATCTGGCATGGCGAGCTTCCACTCATCACCTGGTTCCTCCTGCTCATGTGGCTGCTTCTCATGATGCTCCTCAGCTTTCGACTCCTCATGAGGCTCCTCAGCTTTCGACTCCTCATGAGGCTCCTCAGCTGCCGGGTGTGTCTCATCTGCGGTCTGCTGCGGCTCATGCAGGTGCGGATGCTGCTTCTTCTTCTTGAGGCCTGCTACTTCCCATGAAGCCATGATTTCTTTCTTGGACCCAGACTTCAGCCAGAGTGGCACCTGATCGGAGAAGCCCAGAACACATGCCTTTCTAATGGCTGGGGTGATCTCATTGGGCCTGGCAAAGTACTGTCTCATGAAGTCCTCATCTGCTGATGCCACCTTGTGAATGCACCAGTCATGGTGTTGCCACGAGAGCTCAGCCCTCACCTGCTGCTCCACGGAACTGATCTGGGTCACGAGGTTTGGAACCCTCGTCTCAGCCCCAAGCCATGTGGCCAATGTCTTTGCCCTTTTGTTCATCAGCTTCTCGCTCCCATGCATGGCCTCAATCTGCTTCTCTGCAAGCTTTAGCTTCACCTCATGCTGCTGCCGCTCCTCTGTGCTCATGTCCTTACTCTTCTCAGACTCAAGCAGCTCCGTAAGCTCAACCATGTGTTCCTGAAGGAGCAGCTCATACTGCCATGCCAGGTGCCGCTGCAGCACCTGATGACCATGGGCTCGTTCTTTGTCAAGCCAATGGCCAAGTTTCTGGACGACCTCAGGGAATTGTCGCTTGGCAACAGCACCTTCTGCTCTCATCCTTGGCCTCTGCTTGGAATGCTCCCCACCGATCATGTTGCCATAGTCCTTCTTTTCGACATGAGCCCATGTGCTCCTGTTGGCCCAGATGTCCTGCAGCTTGTCCAACCTCATCTTGCTCTTCTTTGCAAAGGCCTTGAGCATGTCTTGCTCAGCGGGATGGTGCCCACGGGTCTCATAGATTTGCTGGCAGATGCGGTTCTTCATGGACACAGACAACTCAAACTGCCGAGGTTTCTCATTGGCCTTTCTCCGGTTGGACTTCTGGCCACCCATGATCCCTCTCCTCTCGCTGACCGGCTTCATGGGCCGACCTCCGAACCTCCCAGACTTCTTGCCCACCTCCTGCTGCAGCTTGGGCATGACATCCTCATGGGCTGTCAGGGTCAGCTTCTTCCCATCAAGCGACAGCTGCCCACTCTTCAACATCTCACGAAGAGTGTCTTCCATGCGATTTCTTGGCCTCTTGGGCGGCGGACTGGGCGTCTCATGGATGCTGCTGTCGTCAGAGAAGGATGACGGAGACCGGAAGAACTTATGCAGCCTTGACTGCTTGGACTCGGCTGATGAAGCCGATCCAAAGCTCAGCTGTCGCTTGACACGGTCCGTGGGTGGGCTCATGCTCTCATCCGCTTCTTTCTGTGCCACAGGAGTCTGGCAGAGGGCTTTGTCCTCATCGTCCAGGACTATGGCTGTCTCCTCATTCTCTTGCTCCTGCTCATGCTGCGACTCATCACCGCCTCCCCTCATTCGCATCATGCTTCGCCAGTACTCCCTTTCTGCCTTCTCCTGCACAAGCAGAAGCAAGACATTTATTAATTATCTTTTTCTCTGCCCAGAATAGGGCAGGAAGCCCCCCCAGAATAGCAGGAAACCCCCCCCGATTAACAGGGTCCGGCCCGGGACCAGGGATTTGCAGGCCCTTTGCTTTGACCTAGAAAGCCCGAAGCTTTGAGATGGAAGGGTCAGAGATCCCTGGCCTTGGGATCCCTGGGATTTCGGTGATATCTTCTGCTGCCAGAAACAGGTGGTTCCCTAATTAAACCGTATATAAAAAGACTAGGTTTGTCAAGTTTTCCAAGGCTACCCCTTTGCAGGCCCCGCCCCCCCCAGAATAGCAGGAAACCCCCCCCGATTAACAGGGTCCGGCCCGGGACCAGGGATTTGCAAGCCCTTTGCTTTGACCTAGAAAGCCCGAAGCTTTGAGATGGAAGGGTCAGAGATCCCTGGCCTTGGGATCCCTGGGATTTCGGTGATATCTTCTGCTGCCAGAAACAGGTGGTTCCCTAATTAAACCGTATATAAAAAGACTAGGTTTGTCAAGTTTTCCAAGGCTACCCCTTTGCAGGCCCCGCCCCCCCCAGAATAGCAGGAAACCCCCCCCGATTAACAGGGTCCGGCCCGGGACCAGGGATTTGCAGGCCCTTGGCTTTGACCTAGAAAGCCCGAAGCTTTGAGATGGAAGGGTCAGAGATCCCTGGCCTTGGGATCCCTGGGATTTCGGTGATATCTTCTGCTGCCAGAAACAGGTGGTTCCCTAATTAAACCGTATATAAAAAGATAGGTTTGTCAAGTTTTCCAAGGCTACCCCTTTGCAGGCCCCGCCCCCCCCAGAATAGCAGGAAACCCCCCCCGATTAACAGGGTCCGGCCCGGGACCAGGGATTTGCAGGCCCTTGGCTTTGACCTAGAAAGCCCGAAGCTTTGAGATGGAAGGGTCAGAGATCCCTGGCCTTGGGATCCCTGGGATTTCGGTGATATCTTCTGCTGCCAGAAACAGGTGGTTCCCTAATTAAACCGTATATAAAAAGAGTAGGTTTGTCAAGTTTTCCAAGGCTACCCCTTTGCAGGCCCCGCCCCCCCCAGAATAGCAGGAAACCCCCCCCGATTAACAGGGTCCGGCCCGGGACCAGGGATTTGCAAGCCCTTGGCTTTGTCCTAGAAAGCCCGAAGCTTTGAGATGGAAGGGTCAGAGATCCCTGGCCTTGGGATCCCTGGGATTTCGGTGATATCTTCTGCTGCCAGAAACAGGTGGCTCCCTAATTAAACCGTATATAAAAAGACTAGGTTTGTCAAGTTTTCCAAGGCTACCCCTTTGCAGGCCCCGCCCCCCCCAGAATAGCAGGAAACCCCCCCCGATTAACAGGGTCCGGCCCGGGACCAGGGATTTGCAGGCCCTTTGCTTTGACCTAGAAAGCCCGAAGCTTTGAGAATATATCAGAGATATAAGGACTTTCGATTGGGGAATATCAGAGATATAAGGAATGAGGGTTGGAGAATATATCAGAGATATAAGGATTTTCTATTGGAGAATATCCGAGATATAAGGAATGAGGATTGGAGAATATATCAGAGATATAAGGAATTTCGATTGGAGAATATCAGAGATATAAGGAATGAGGATTGGAGAATATATCAGAGATATAAAGAATTTCCATTGGAGAATATCCGAGATATAAGGAATGAGGATTGGAGAATATATCAGAGATATAAGGAATTTCGATTGGAGAATATCAGAGATATAAGGAATGAGGATTGGAGAATAGTTATATCAGAGACGGAAAACATGTTCATCACAGGCACATTTACATGCTTTCCCCATGCTGGCCTTGCTGATGGCTTCAGCAGAACTCAGCTCATCCCAATCGAACCATGAGTTTGATCGCTTGCTCAGCTCATTGTCTTCAGCAGCATCTAACTCGTCCCAATCGAAGAATGCAGAGGTCTTCAATTGCTCATGCTGGCGCTTGAGTCGTCGCTCCTTTTTCGCATGCGTCTTGAATGCCTTTCTCATGATGCTGCGAATCGCATGGTACTGCGAATGCCTTGTCAACTGCATGCTCAGAATGCTCTCATGCAGCCTCTGCCGCAAGCCCTCATCTCGAATGGGAGCTGGCATGATCTGAGGCATGGGCTCACTGCATGCTGCTTTCTTGTCTCTCACAACAGCATGCTTCTTCACTTCTCTCATGCCCTTGCTGCTGCGGCTCATGCTGTTGACATGCTCGTGCTGGTAAACATGCTGAGCAACCCCAGTCTTCTCTGACTCATCAGACCATGAGAACCTCCCCATGAAGGAAAAATCATGAAGCTCCCAAGGCTCATTCATCTCATTCCACCTGTTCTCCAGCTCATCCCAGTCGAAGAACATGTCGTTCAAAGCAATGAGCTCATCTTCATCCTCATCTGGTTGCGACAGGATGGCAAACCTGTTGTGGCATGTCACCTGCTCACGAAGACTGATGCTCCACACCATGGCGTGATACAGATGCACACTCACTTGAAAACCTATGTCATGAAAAAGGCACAATGTGAAACTTAATGAAACAAATGCCTAAAGCTCAAAATCACATTTTATCAAAAACTCATGCCCACAGCTCATCCACAATGCTTGTCATGCTCACAGCTGATCGAAAGCACTGCATGCAAGCGGTGTCATGCAGCTCATGCCCACAGCTCATCTAAGTCACTGCATTTGTGCGGCTTCATGCAGCTCATGCCCGCAGCAGTGTGTCAGGTTTGGGCTTTTAGGGTTTAGGGGTTATTTTCAAGGATTTATATAAGGTTTAGGGATTTAGGGTTTAGGGTTTAGCTACAAGGGTTTCAGGGTTTTAGGGTTTTAGGGTTTAATTGGTTAGAAGGGTTTAAGGTTTAGGGTTTTGGGGTTTAGGGTTTAGTTCGAAGGGTTTAAGGTTTAGGGTTTTAGGGTGTAGGGTTTATTTCGAAGGGTTTAAGGTTTAGGGTTTTAGGGTTTAGGGTTAAGTTAAAAGGGTTTAATTAAGGTTTAAGGTTGAGGGTCTAGGGTGTAGTTAAAGGGTTTAGGGATAAGGGCAGTATGGGGTTTGGAGTTTTGGCATTAACTACTTGGAGGATCATGGGACTTAGTAAGTAAGGTTATAAGTACCCTAACTGGGGTTATAAGTATAGTTAATTACCCTAATTATAACCCTAGTTAATTACTAAGTCCCATGATCCTTTAAGTAAGGGCCCAACCCTCCCCATGTGTTTCGCTGCTCTCATGCGAAGATCAGAAAGCCATCCCCTCATCGCACCCATGAAAAATGCCATGCTGCTTCATGCATTGATTACTTACTCATGCGGCGCTATGCCGAGCTTAACCTGATCCTAAACCCTAAACCTTAATTAAACCCCAAACAAACCCAAAGACTAATCTTATCCCTAACTGAACTAATTAATGCAGCTCATGGCTGGCGTCATGGGTGCTTTTAAAAAAGCCCATCTCCTCATGGGATCTACAGCCTTATGGCTCATATACGAGCCCATCTCCTCATGGACTCATGGCCGGGCTGAGGGCTCATGCCTCCGCCTCAATGGGCATGAAATGCCCATGGTAGGACCGCATGATCGCTTTGGGCTCTGGCCCATGGGTCTCAACCCATGCTCTGAATTTGGCCGGCTCATGGTGGGAACGGGCCATGCCGTGCCAGCTTTTGATCAGCCAATGCTTGCCTCGGCTGAATCTTATTACTAGCTAACTAATAAATTACCATAACATATTTCTCAATAATCTATTAACCGTAACAAATTATGGAAAATTGATACTTAAATTATTCCCTGAGCTGCCTCTCATGTCGCCCCACACAGTCTCCCATGATGCCAGCTCAAAGATCTCCGTCCTGAAAGGGCTGGGGGGGGTTAATTGGGCCTTATGGGGTTTGGGCTCTAATTACTCTCAATTATGAAGGCTGTCCTCATGGCAGACTCCATGTTCTGCGTCACCTCGCTCATGACCATGTGCTTATCGCTGATCTCATCATTGCGAGGATCATACAGCCTGGGTTTAGGGCTTAGGGTTTAATTATGTTAATTAAAGTAGGGGTTAAGTAGGGTTTACTTAGGAGGGTTTAATTAACCCTAATTAAACCTTAAACCCTAAACCCTAATCTAAAAAAAGAACTACTGCAGCATCCAGACTCATCGCTGTCATACTCATGGGTCCGGAACAATGCCAGGCTCACCTGCAGGGTTTAGGGTTTAGGGATAGTTATGGTTTTACAGGGGTTAGGGGGGGGGGTTTTATGTTTTTGCCAGGGGCCTCCACCCATGCCACCGTGCATATGATGCGCCAGTGCTGATGCAGCATTGGATGGCTCATGACAATGTCATGCTCCTCATGCACGAACTCAAACCCGAAGCACTCCTAAACCCAATCCTAATTGCACCCTAAACCCTAATTAATTACTTATTATTTAAAAAACACTAATTAATACCAGGGGAGGAGCATAGAGCATCCACGTGTGGAGGAGCTCATCTCTCATCCACTGATCGCAGCGCCATTGCCTCATGTATGGGCTTCAGAGCTTAAAATATGTAATTTACATTCTTATTATGACTAATTAATTACTAATGACGGTCCGAGCCACTGCCAATTGACCAAAACCCATGATCGCCCCGCCATGAGCCTGGTGGCAACATGGCGGAGGCGATCGCGGAAACTGCCATGGACTTCGTCCTTGGCTCAAGACAAATGTAATTAAACCTGTAATACCTCATTAACTAATTAATTTAAAATACAAAAGATGCTTACTTATCCGGCCCATGACGGCTCGCCGCTCCATGTTATGGAGCAACCCATGGATCTGACTCATCAGCTGGCCCATCCTCGGCTCCAAATAATTAATGAATTACTAATGACCCAATCCTAAGTAATTAACCAAGTAATTACTCACAATTGCCAATCATGCCCCAGTCTCTCAGCCATGGTTCCCATGGTTCCCTCGTTGCCGCTCATGTTGGAGCTCATGGCCAATGGGTGGGGATGCGGCGCTTATGCGGGCACTCTTGAGCTGATGGCAAGCTCATGGCCGGCCACATTTGAACCCCCAAACCCCTCAACCCCCTCAAGTCCTTGAACCCCTTCAAACCCCCAACCCCCTATTGTAATAATACTATACTACTGTACTGCTTCTATAGAAGCAGTACAGTAGTATAGTATTATTACAATAGTACTAGACTTCAATACTACTACTAAACTACTGTACTACTACTATACTACTGTTCTACTACTCAACCCCCTCAACCCCCTCAACCCCCTCAAGTCCTTGAACCCCTTCAAACCCCCAACCCCCTATTGTAATAATACTATACTACTGTACTGCTTCTATAGAAGCAGTACAGTAGTATAGTATTATTACAATAGTACTAGACTTCAATACTACTACTAAACTACTGTTCTACTATTATACTACTGTAATACTACTATACTACTACTGTACTACTGTACTACTGTACTACTGTACTACTGTACTACTACTTAATCGGGGGGGGGCGGTAAAAACTTGAACCCATGAACAAGTTCAAGCGGGCCAACCTTGACAGCGGGGGGGGGGGGTTGTTAATCGGTATCCAACATTAGCTCCTCTTTTGGATAGCAGATTGCATCAGTACTTCATGGTACCCCCGGGAGCAGAAGCTCCTTGCCATTGAAGACCGATGTAAACTAAAAAGTGCAGTTGACTATGTGGCAGATAGGCGTTGCCTGAATGAGAGCCGCGAGCGTTGCCCGACGTGTCGGGTGTAGGCTGCTCTCTCAGTAATAGTTGATTCGAACTGACAGCCCTACGGAAGATGGAAGCCAAGATCGCTGAGAGTGGCCTTAAGCGCACTCGGCAACCGGCAAGGATTGGATATACAGTATGCCGCTAGTGTAACGCGATCTGTTAGGCTCCAGCCACGGGTGCAATGAACATGATTGTGAGCAGGGAAAATAAGTGCCTGGAAGGCCAAGCTAAATGGGCGGCCGCTCAGTAGGCCAAGATCAGTTTCCTCGTAGTCGGTGCCATGCCAGGATTCTACCCAGACTGAGCCTTCGTCATGATGAGAGAGGCTGAGCAACAACGTGCCCGTCTTGGAGTTGGACTGATCTCGATGTGGAGGCGTGCGAACGTTGTAGTTCAATGAAAAAGTATTCCATTTGTGTTCTGGGCAGATGTGCTCAATCAGCCGGTTGAGCAGACGACAGAAGGATCCATGCCGAACTGTGTCAGCACATAGCCCAATAGGTCCACGTGCAAAGGCGCCAAAGGTGACATTGTTGGCATTGCTGTTGGAGAAGCGCTGGCGACCCGGCCGCCATACCAGAGCTCGAACTGCTGTACGTACAGCACACCAGAGCGGTGATTGTGCATCCTGCAGAAGATGCCATGCCAGAACCTCTGCGCGTGGGGCCTGCGCGTCCAACTCACCGTAGGGGAAAGGCATGTGCGTGTCAAGGCTGCGAGGAAGACAAGGTTGCAGGCGTGCAAGGTAGCTGGACAATTCCTGCATCCGGTTCTGGCCAAAGGTCTGAGTGGCCAGATGTAGCAAATCATTGTAGGAGAGCACCCCCGCTTCTGCCGGAAGTGATAATGGCGGTTGTCTAGCAGCCAGCGTATGCATAGCTTGTAACAAGAGATACTCCTCGAGGGCCACGGCGTACAAGTCCGGTGGGAAGTCTCGGGTTTGGAGCATGCCGTGAAGAGACTCCTGGCTAGTCCTGTTGCTGAAGCCGCAAGAGCTTGGAAACTGGAACAGTCCCGCAGACCATTGCACATGCACATGCAGTGAAGAAAGCAAGTGATTCCTGGGGAAGTGATGCCCCGCTCTAAGACATCAGCAATGCAAAGTGGCCGATACCTATTGATCCGAGGTCCAACTTTGCCGTTGGGAAGCACTCAGTTCTCGGTGGCAGGACGTTGCCTGGCGTCAATGCGGGCGTTGCCCGAGTAGCAGGCGATGCAATGCAAGGCTAGCGCAGGAAGAGTGGTATGCCTGCTATCCGACAACTCTCATTGACGACGCAGGACGTTGCCTGGCTGCAGCTGGGGCGTTGCCCGTGTGCAAAGCGAGGCAAAACGCAACAGTCAGCAAAAGGTGAGACGCGTGATGCCACTTGTACATTCAACGGCTCAGCGGTAATAGTCGTGGTAGTCGGAGTTCTTGGCGGCATAGGAGTTCTCTTCCCAGTCTTCCCAGTCTTGCCAGTCCTGGGAGCCGGCAGATCGGGAGTAATGACCTGATGAGGTCCCTTGAGACCCATAAGAGTCTGACCTTCTTGACTCCTTGTTCTCCCTGTAATCAGCTTGCCGTTCTCGACGACTACGAAGTTGCTGGCCTGTGGCATTGCGAATGACGTTCAGCTTGCTGTCCAAGACCTGGCCGTGCGTGATCTTAATTGGTGGGGTGGCTGTCGCGCGTGGCCTGGATGATATTGACATGGGAGGGCTGGTGTGCCTTTTTGGTGGCGGCTTCGTAGAT